CCTCTACAATGAGTATATTCACTGCTTAGACTGATTTTCACAGTCTTGAGATGTGTTAACTCCTCCTACCCTAAAGTAGAGTTAACCTAAGGACCTGGACAGCAGAACTGAGTGAAATTTAGCAAGTGTCTCTGTAATAATCAAGTCTCTTTAGGTAGCAAGAAGCAAACATTCTGTTCAAACTTTGGGTCCTCACATTCGGAAATGTTTTGGTTCACAGAACTATGAAATCCAAACGTACTTTTAGCTTCAAGCTTTTTTTTTTTTTTTTTGAGTTGGAGTCTCACTCTGTCGCCCAGACTGGAGTGCAGTGGCCGCTCCCGGACACCGCAGCCTCCGCCTGCTGGGCTCCGGTGATCCTTCCGCCTCAGCCTTCCAAGTAGCTGGAACTACAGGCGCGCGCTATCACGCCCGGCTAATTTTTTGATTTATTGTAAAGATGAGGTCTCACCTGCCCAGGCAGGTCTCGAATCCGCGGGCTCAGGCAATTCACTCACCTCAGCCTCCCAAAGGAGGGGGATTACAGTCTGAGCCACCAAGCCCGGCTTAGCTTCAAGCTTTAACTGAACACAAGTAATCTTATCAGAGCACTGTCTCTGAGCTCTGCTTTCTTCTGTATTTGTCTTCATTTCAGTGATTCATTTCCCACAGAGTGCCAAAACACTAGCTCTAGGTGGCTGTAGGGTTATACCACCCATATAGCTTGTGATTCCATAGGGAAAATCATGTTTCTTTTGTGATATGTTCTAACAAAAGTTTTGTGGGAGGCTGAATGTTCAGGCTTGGGTCTTCTGCATATTCCTGAACCATCATCGTGGCCAGGAAGATTTGATTATTTGACTAGACAGGCCTGGGTCATTATGGAAACCCCAAGGTTGTGGTGGGAAGGGATAATGGAGTGGATCACTCACAATAAAAAGAAACAACAGGCTGGGGCATGGTGGCTCAAGCCTATAATTCCAGCACTTTGGGAGGCTGAGGCAAGGAGACTGTCTGAGCCCAGGGGTTCGAGACCAACCTGGGCAACTTGGCGAGACATAATTTCTACAATAAATTTAAAAATTAGCTGGACGTGGTAGCGCGTGCCTGTAGTTTGGCTACTTGGAAGGCTGAGGCAGAAGGATCACCTGAGCGTTGCCACTGCACTCCAGCCTGGGCAATAGAGTGAGACTCCAACTCAAAAAAATAAAAAGAAAGAAAGAAAGATAGAAACAGTAGTCTTATTTTAACTGAAAAAGGGGGTTGGAAAAGTACAGTGGGCATGCGTACTAAAATCATCATAGTATACAACATTTCCTGAGAGTAGCGACTTGTGAAGACTTATCCCAGAGCCCTGTATCCTGCTCTGGTGATTTCATTGGCCCATAGTTACTTAAATCAATGAGTATAGCATATTCAAAAGCCATAAGGGAGAATGTTTCAGCTTGGGAGTATAGTAAAAGAACTCTTTGTTTCTATAAAAATATCACCTTGTTCTGTTCAAGTATTTGGTTGTGATTTGTAAATATGTCCAACAAAAATGCCATCAGTTGAATTCTCCAGTTAGTAAAGAAAATGTTCGAGAGTTGGCAAAAAGTCAAACTCGTGCTATCAGAATCACAATACAAGAATCACCCGAGCCCAGCAGGTCTAGGCTGCGGTGGGCGGAGCGTGCCACTGCACTCCTGTCTGGGAGATAGAGACTCCAACTTAAAAAAAAAAAAAAGACTCACAATACATTCTTTTTAAGAACTCCTCACATCTTATCCTCAGCAGGAGAAGCAGCTCTTTGCTACTCAGAAGTTAATTTGCCTTAGATGATACCAATTACTGTTCTAATTTCACACTGGAATACTGTTCATTATTTACATTTTTAAAAATTATAGCGGG